TTTTTGAGGTATCGCAAACTTAATTAAAGTTAACCAATCAATGTAGACCAACGTGAATTTTAGCCCCTGTAAAATTGACCAATCATTACGATCTTTAACCATGCTGTTCAGAATTATGTGATTTGATAGGGGTCAATTATGCGATGAATCTTTTTTAGTATAGGTGACCCTACTCTAAAATCAATTGCCTAATATATAGTATTTTATTAATGGGTAAAGAGAGTTTCGCGTAAACCTTAATTTACATGACTTGTATTAATTTTAATATAAATAAAATTCTTTCCGTAAGTGTAACGTCATACCTGCCAGACGAGGCCTTCGGCCACGTGCTTTTGCTATTATCCTGCCGATACCCATGTTAGTGTCATATTATAATAATATATATATTATTATGACAAAATGAATATATCATAACATATGGGTTGCCGTCAATAGAAATCAGCAGGTTGATATTTATCTTGATGAATTAATATTCAAAAGAAAGTCTAGCTAGATTTTAAGCTTTCTTTAGAATATTAATTGTCAAGATAGCCTCAAAATTCAAGTTATGAAAGTTAAAGGATTTCTATTGACTGTTACCCATATAGCATGTTACGACTTATGACATTATCATCGTCTAACAATGCCTAAAAACGTAAATTTTCCGATTGAGGAAAAGCCAAATGGAGAAATCTCCGCATTTTACAATAGGTGCACCAGGTTCTGCAAAATATTCCATGGTTTATCTGAATGACGCAACGAAAACCCGACTTTTATTATTTATTTATTGTGGGCTTAGCCATGATCGTCAATATATATATGATGTAATGAAATTTACTCTGAATCTGGTAAAAATACGTAATACAATATAATAATTTGAAAGCTCCAAGTCCGTCATTTATACGTACGACATTTAATCTTGTTCGCCTTCAAATATGACGTGACTAATTGTTCACTCAAAATCAATTATCAACTAATACATTACAACATAATGATTTATCTGTTATAACGAAACCTCCCCCTTAAGTGCTGGTCGTCTGATCAGATGTATAGCGCCAATACTGCAATATATGCAATTTCTATATAATTATTGTACAGTAAACGTTAATTAAACTGCTTAATTTTTTCGTTAGGTAATCAGCATTTTGAGGGGTTAAACTTCTTTATTCGTTATATTCTAATAACAACTAATAAGTAATTCAATTATACAGTATTTTCAGCCTTTACTACTATCTTTATATATTATTAATTAATTAACGACACCATATTAATCTGCTACGTATTTATTTTCAACCACATATCTCATGCAAAATAATACAGTAGATTGTATAACTGATAATGGTATTAAATTAATATGTTAATATATATTAAAAATGATTATCGTATTACGTATACCGGGTATATCTGATATACGTATATTTATATAACATAATAAATTAAACGGTCCCGAATTGGAATTCTGATTCAGAATTGGGTTATTCGGTTTTAGAATTCTCGAGGTCGTCAAGCTTAAGAATTAGTGGTAAAGTTAGGATTAATATATTAATATATTAATACCGGGTGGGTGAAAGTCTCCAAGCAGGACCCTTTTTTTTTAATCACTAAAATAATCGTTTTTAACGTTTATAATTAATAAGCAATATTATATATAAATTTTCACCAAAACGGTATACGTATAATCAACTATATTCCGAGCTGGGTAATCCGATTCTGAATCTGGACAACCGGGTTCTGAATGGGGCAGATTCTAATATGGGTACACCATACATAATCTATTCTTTAACGTTAAGTTCAAAACCTTAATTTGAACGAATTAATCGCCTTTTCTAAATACTATTTTTGGCATTTTTGTTTAACATATATATTTGCATAGTTAGTAACGCCTCCTAAGTACGTACGCTCCTCAATTTTTGGAACGTTCTTTAGAGAACAAATGAAACGTTACATTTTTAAAAAGTATTAAATATAATATTAATTAGTTACCCGGACAATTAATTTGAATGCCTTCCTATAAACATTACATCGTTTTTCACGAACATTCTCCAAAAAAAATAAAGAAAATATAAGGATATTCGATAATAGAAGTAAACTAAATTGTCTACTTTTAGACCTTTGTTTACTTTTAAAGTTCTTTAGAAATAGAGTCACGACTTGTACAATATTTACCACATTAGACATTGTACTCGAATAGAGTTTTTCGCCAGAAATAAATACATGATGATTTACCCGTGGTACCTCGGGATATTTTAATAATATCCGGGTAGCGATTTTTTCTACGGGTACAACCACGTGCCTGACACATTTTTAAAAGTCAACAAATTTATGATTCATAACGATATATCTTTTGATATGTTTTTTGGTAGTTAAGAAATTAAAGGATTTTACTACGTAATAAAAATATTTAGTCGGATTTAGCAATTCCACGGATTTGTAGAATTTGTTAAATTCCCTAAATTTACAAGACAGAATTTAAAAATGAGCAATGCCAAGGATTTGTAGAATTTGTTAAATTCCCTAAATTTACAAGACAGAATTTAATGCCAAGAGATTTATATCGGTGTTTTTGGCCGACATTAATATTTTAGTACTACATAAAAATGTAAATTTAGGTAATTTAATAATGGTCAAATTCACTAGTTCGCAGAATTAAGGATTTATTGTGAATGAAAGATTATATCTTCATTTATTTATGGAAGCCACATACATAAGGCTTAGCTTCTCGTCGTATCTTAATCATAAGATAACAAGATTTCTATTTAAGTTCATTAATGAATATATGTATGGCTTTATAATTTTTTGAATTGAGTCTAAATGTTAAATTAGGTTACGTAAGTTAATACTACAGTATAACACCCTTATTTCTCACTACTATTTATGGAGGAATAACAAAGTGGATCTCCGGCATATGAGGGCCCTCAAATAAACGGAATTCACCTCTCTCCTGTTGCAGGAAACAAATAAAATGCTTCATTATCTTTATGCCAATTTTGGATTGCATAAAGCAATTTTTGGTTTGTTTTTATTGGTCAGAATTATATGTGAAAAGGGTGCTTTTGAAACCATACGGAGTTTCACACTTGTTACATAAAGAAAAAATCCCACTGTTGTAACGTGAATGATCCATAGAGCAAGCAGTAAAAATAATTTTCTTTTCCTCGCACACCGGGATTATGTATACCAGATTGATATGCCACTCTCGTATTCATCAATGTCTGGTATAACGATTGACTAGTAAAGTCGATCTATGATGCCGGTATAATTTTTTAACGAAAAATTTTCTTTAAATTGACCAATAACAAACAAGTCATCGTCCCGTTTTTCGAAAATCTTAATCTCAATCGCTACACATAATTTGAAAATTTTTAAACCATTATATATAACTTTTTATAGATGATAAAATATATATATATATTTTTAAACATACTGTAGGTAAATTTTGCAAAACTTAGGTAAAGGTTATCGGTCAATTTAACTGTTAATAGATTCTCGCGTCATAATCTCATAAATCGGAGCATTTCATTGCTATCGCTATATATTACAGTATTATTAGTGCCGCCAAGCAAAACTAGCCTAAATTTAGTTTGATTTGTAACGGTAATTATCTTTATTTAGACATTCTTGTTATCCTTGGCGATAATCATTCAAATACGTAGTATTGTAACAAAAATAGGTAGAATTCAAAAAGATTAAAACCAAATTTACATAAGAAATACGTAACATTGTGGCAAAGAGGCTTATTATAGAAACGCGTATGTTTTGTTATACAAATTATAAATATAGAACCGCTGCGGATAAAACATAAATTACATTTTTGATATAGTAACATAAATTTTAAATGAGTGAATCAAAAAAGTAATCATTGATCAACAAATGTGTTTTCTCCGCTGTTCCATCAATAAATGGAAGGTCATAAAGTTTCAGTTTTGGATATTTAAAACCCCTCTGAACTAAGATTCTTGCATTAACTTTCATTATAAATTTCGAAAAAAAAAAAAAAAAATCATTAAATATTTCTATAATGAGAACTCTTCAAATTTTTACACTGTTCACAATAGCATTAACAATATTGCTTGACGCATATACAAATGCTGCCCAGGATGATCCAGGATTTACGAGAGTTATGCTTACAAAAAAAACTAATCATGGCAAAACTTCAGAAGAGTTCATTAAAAGAGATTATACTTACATAAATCAAAAATATCAGAGATTAAAAAAACGTCAATCTCCAACTTCGATCATAACTTTAACTGATGAACCAGTTTCGAACAATGATGTGGGTTATTATGGTCCTATAACGATTGGTAATCAAAATTTTAGCGTAACTTTTGATACTGGTTCTTTGGATCTTTGGGTTCCAGATACTTCTTGTACTTCATGTGGAAATCATAATAAATTTGATCCTTCAAAATCTTCTACTTTTCAAACTTCAAAGACTAGCTTCACTTTATCTTATGGTCTTACTGTTAACCAATCTGTTACTGGTTATCAAGGTCAAGATACCGTCACATTCGGTGGTATCTCAATATCACAACAAACTTTTGGATTAGCCACAAGCGAACCTTTTTCAGATTTAGCAGAAGATGGAATTCTTGGTCTTGGGGCTAAGAATGTAGAAGGTTTTAAAGTGAATGGTGTTATGCAATCGATAAAAGCTCAAAAAAAATTATCCAAAAATATAATTGCATTTCATTTAGCAAGAAAAAAAAGTAATTCAAAAGATGTAGCCTTTGCAACACTTGGTGGTATTGACCAAACCGCCGTTTCAGGATCAGTCGGATATAATAGTGCAAACGTTTCATTAGGGGTTTGGATAATTGAATTAACTGATATTAAGGTTGATGGAAAATCTATTGGTTCCGTTCCAACAGCTCCAGCTGTTATTGATACTGGTTAGTACTATTTATTTTTTATTCTTCTTAAATTATGTTTAGAAATTAAAAATTTACTTTATGATTAGGTACTAGTTTGATCTACGGTCCCCCTTCGGTAGTTGAAGCAATTCATTCTTCAATTCCTGGTGCTGCTATTTATTCACAAGGTCAACAGAAAATTTATACCGTTCCATGCAATACAAAATCTATAGTTTCACTTTCATTTGATAGCGGATCATATTCAATCGACCCTAAAGAACTTATTTTTACTACCAGTGATTCATCGTTATGTGCTTCAGGTATACAAGGAAGCCCTGACAATTTTTGGTTAATTGGTGATGTGTTTTTGTCAAGTGTTGTTAGTGTATTTGATTTTGATAATAATCAAGTTGGATTTGGTCAAGCAAAAATAATGTCTAGTCCTGATAATGTTATTTCTAATGGTGTAAAGATTTCTCCACCAGTTTTCTGGAAAACTTTTGTATTTACTTTAATTATGATTTTTATTTATTTTTACTAAAATTTTTTTAATGTTTTGCTATTATATATTTAATAATATATATATATAATACAATATATAATATTTAAGCTTTTTAAACCATGTTTTTTTTTTATTAGGCTTTTTATTATTCTGTTTTATAGGTATTACGTTACGTAACAATATGTATACAGTTTGTACAATTATTTTATATTCAGTTAGTATAAAAATGTGTTTATACAAAATTGCTTTTATACGTATAATTATTATGTTATACGTATAATAAAATACAATACCGTATCGGTATTTGCACGTAATAACCAGTGTTATAAATTCAAAAAATTTTATTGGCGCAAACGCAAAAAAAAATATGTACAAAAAAAAAAAACTTTATATGCGCTTTATATATACGAAGAGCACTGATATACAGTACGCACAAATTTAAATCAATGTACTGTACGCTACGCCTACTGCGCCGATTCAATTTACATCATGGTAATAACGCCCCCCTGCGTTATTTTGAAGCCTTATCTGTTATTTTGAGCAAGAATACGGTTTTTTTTTTCAAACTCTCGCAACACATGGGTGCTATTATAGTAACTAAAATTTTAAGTTCAAACCATTAGAGAACGCATTTTGACTCTCATCGGGGATGTTACAAATGAAAAACAACTATGGGTATTTTATCCCTTCCACTTTCGTGATACATGGACAACCTATGCAAGATTCTACTGTTCACCATAAGTGTTATTACGTAGCTACTTGATGAGTGGGCCAGAATTTGCCTGGAAAAAATTCGTTGATTACTATTTAGACCAAATATTAGGCTAGTGCTATGTATACAAATACAATAAAATTCTTTCGTGACTGTCATTCCGACAGACCACTTCCACTTCCAAAAGCTCAAATTAAGACTGTCGTCCGACAGGTCATAATTTCTCTAAAACAAATTAGCAATGACTGTCATCCCGACAGGTAATCAAATCATAGCTTCTAAGCAAACTGTCAAATCAATTTCTAGAGTGGGACGACAAAGTCGGGTTAGCAGAAAAACATAGTGGGACTTGTAGATAAATACACATTCTTTATTCCGTAAGTGCACGATAATTGCCTGTCCTCCATGTGATTATCAGCTAATCAAATTCATTATTTCTAATCTACTAAAGCTATATTTTTCATTTGATAATAGTTCTATTGTGATTTTGTTAGTATTCTCTAATTTCTCTAATTGCAACCCTCCATAAATGCATGTTCTAGAGCTGGTCTTGATAACGTGCATTTAGGGAGGTCTGACTATATCAATATTTAACTATTACAAAAACAAATAATACTGTAGTATATTAAATAAATTATTTTTTTTAGTTATATTGCCAAATTTGGATTGATTTAAAAATTAACCAATCATGATAAGAATTGTTTGTTATCCAAATTGGATGTTCTATAGAATAGATGGGCAATATAAAAAATAACCTCCGCTGATGATTAATAATCATTAATAGATATGTAGTGGAGTTGCGGAGTTTGCCCACCTATTCTATAAAACATCCTTAAAATTTATCACAAAGTAAGTTTTTACAATAATAGCTTTTTTTTTTTTTTTTTTTTTTAGTGATCATGCTACATGCCCATGCTTTATTGATCATTAATTAAATCTGAAAAAAAAAGAATACATCTAAAAATACGGGTATGTAACTCACCCGGTTACTTATATAGAATACCTAGATATTCATGCATCTGTGTGCGACCTGCCAAAGATGATTTTAATCTCCCTGGTTTGGTTCAACCTATATCAAGCCGACCCACCCCAGTTCACCAACCTGGTTCATCAGCCTGTCATGACCGCCTTCTTTTCCAACCTTCTTCTCCTAGCCTTCTAGATAGAAGAATTCTACCAAAAAACAATAGGAAATTTACGAAATAAAAGGAATAGTAAAAAGGGTGAAAATCTAAACTAAACAAAAACAAAAAACAAACAAAAAAGAAAAAGAGAGAAGAGAAGAAAAAGGTCAAAAAAAAGGACGGCCATGATGGCACTATTTTTGCTTGTGCAAGGCTACATAAATTATATAATGTTGTATAGAATAAAATCTAATCTAACACTATATG